CCAACATACTCCGCCCTGCGATTTCTGCCCCACTCAGTAATGGTTGTTTTACCTCAGGTAAACATGACTGCACATTGTACGGCCCTATCCAGTTCATTGCATACTCATTGTTAGCTATGCTCTGATATTTCTACCTCGCGGCAAAGAGGCAATTTTAAACCACCATGCAAAATCATCGGCTAGATTGTTTGAAATTATTTTATAAATCAGACAAAGTAGCTATTATGATCTCTATAGTGAATTATATGAATTATCGTTGTATTAAAGGGCTGATATGTAGAATATCAGTTTGTAGGATTGAGGATAGAGTTTTTGTCTTGTCAAGTGACAAGTCAACGTTAAACTATTGATGACCTTGGTGGTCTAACGGTTTTACGATACACTGCGTTACCTTCTGATGGTCATGGGTTCTATTTCCGTATAATACAAACACTTGTATCCATGAGTATGTCTTTTAGTATTGGGCTGTGTGTTTTATATATATATATGTGTATGTTTATGAAAAAGTGTTTAACTATGTTTATCACTTGACTAGTATTTATTCATGTATTTCATCAACTGGATGAGTTTTATAGTCTCCTAATATGCTCACCCTGGAAAGCATCATTACAATAACATATATTTTATAACTATAATTCACAATAAGAGTAAAATACCATATAACTACATAAAATAATAGAAGTAACATTTATATTTTATATACAAGCTCCGTTTATTTGGAACTAGATGACGCTGCATAATATATCTGGTAGTATTTATTTATAGAGTATTTACAATGTTATCGGACTATGTGCTTTATGTTTCCATTGACTTGCAACGCCTTTAATAGATTGCCAGCATAAGCTTCCTACTGGACGGTAGAGCACAAATCTAATTGGTAAGACTCTTCTCAACTGCAAAAGAAAAGAAATAATATATAGGTAAGCATGTCTGGACTTTGGTATATGGCTTATTTATTTATTTATAAACTACTTACCACACTTACAGTATCTCAATATATCTAATTTGTCATTAAATATGTATATCAATATCTAGCTGCTGAGCAATCAGAGAATTTTTTTTTAATGGATGATAATGGAATAGTAGCCCCACCCGCGCTATCGGTATACACCGGCGGGGCACCAGTGAAGGATGATAGGTGAGGATGAAGCAGGTCAGTTAGTCCATCATGACGAATTCAATAAGATTGTTCACGATGGTTTCCAGGGGGAATCACGTGGAGGTCGACCTAATAGGGCATATTGCTGATAATGGGGCTGTCAAACTCCATTGCTAACAATCCCTTTGCCCCCGCAATCAGAGAATTGAGCAGAGCAATAATCTAATAAGTGGGAGCAAACAGAACGTGGCTTAAATGTCTTGAAGGATATTTTTAAAAGAGAGTTGTTATTTTCGTATAAATCTAATTCTGGGAGTGTCATTGGGTACATAATTTTTATTTATTTACTTTAGTTACTATTCAGCACATTAACGGCTTAACCAAGCATTATAAAATTTTGGTGACTATGTACTAATTGGTATGAAGAAAAACATGGGCTGCTTTTTTATATTAGCCAATCAGTGCATCACGGTTACGCGGACTAAGTGGCGGTTCAAAAATAATAGTTGACTATGGTCACTCAGAGTCCCAAAATAGTGCTTACTTGGTGTAAAAATTGATGATATTTGTTATGTTATATTGTCAAATATGGTCGGAAAATATTTACGGTAGTTGGACTAGACAAAATGAAACTATGTCTCACGAAGAATCGTATTATGACTTTTTTGAAGAAATATGAGTTATTTTAGGAAAACATTTCAACACAAGTTCATTCCACAACTAGAGCGTTCAAGGACGAAGATACCCTAAAACCCTATTACTTATTAGTGGACTTCTGAATGCATATTAGGAAGAGTTATTCATTTAATTTATAAATCAACATTAGACCATATTATATGTTTAGGTATGAAATATTCTTTCAAAAACCAAGAAAAGGATACGCGTCGAACATTTTACCTTTTTCTTTTTTGAAGTCTATTAAATATCAGTGGCTCTTCTTTGCTGATAGTAACTGTAAATAATTGGCCGTGTATAATTTCGCATGAAATTAATACAAATCAGCGTTTAGCTTATTTTTACAAACAATACTATCGTGGAGTTCAATTTAACTTCCTATTTATTTACAGTTAGGTAATTTTGGTTATCTGGATTATATGGAATTATTTATGATTCATATGTACCTAAATAATAGGTAACAAGTAAATACACGACATTATTATAATTTGGAGGAACTTGAATATTATTTAAGAGTACATATTTAAGCAGGTATCTAATAAAATTAACCAAAAAGAGATAAAAGTAAAGGAATTCCTAATACCAACTTTAGAGCTGCCGATAGATCTCTGTCTTATTAAAAGATTGTATTTTACAGCAATATGTTTCTCTATTACGTTTATGGAGTCTTTTGTTAGGATGTAAGTACCTAGAATGAGAGACGAAAAGCTTACACCTCAAACCTTTATCTGTTCTTTTTGCCACATGTTATACGGAATTTATTTTGGTAAAAACTATTTTCGTGATATTTAGACTGTTCCTCTTGTTTCCTCTGTACCCTGTATATTCAATACCGTATCTCACTCTTCAAACCGAAAACCAGCCATGTAAACACAACTGCTTCATGGTTGAAATACAAATGGGACAGAGGTGCCCAAGCAATTGACTTTTGTACAAAGCCTCCCTCTGGTGATCGTGTTTTATATATACTTATATGTTACATGTATAAACTCAAGATATATGTTTAATGGAAACGCAGTGTGAGGAGAAAAAGGAGGAATTGGTCACTGCAGGCACAACTAGGTAAAATGGGGTGTTCTTTCTCGTGAGGCCTGTTTCTGTTGAAAGCAATTGCAGATCATGACTATCCGTTCTGTCTTGTTCTTTGTACCCATCATTCTGCACGAAGAAGGATCTGTATGAGGCAATAGTTGGTCATCTCGTACAAGTCCTCCAATAAACCAGACCAGAACTCAGCAACTTCCATAGCACAGTTGTACTGTAAAAGTCGCTAAGTTCTTGTCCAAATATATATGGATTACTCATTGGTTTGAAAGAAGAGTAAAAAGTGTAAAGAGAGAGATTGGCACTCAGTTCTTTCTGTTTACCCCACAATCAACATGGCTCGAACACAGAAACGTCAGCTACTTCTGCCTTCATTCTATTTCTTCTTGCTAACAGCGAACGCGTTGCCTTTATATACCTAAATAGATACGAATAGTTGAGTACATATTTTGGATAGTTTGTCTTGTGTCTTAACTTTATGAGTGTCTTAAGCCCAAAACCTTAATCATGCTCCCACGTGTTTAATTAACACTTAATGTTGTTTGCTCGGTAGTAATAAACTCTATTTAAAAAGATAGTGTGCCTACAGTAGTACGACGACGTGACTGATATATGATAAAGCGGTTTGTTTAAGGACGTACATGAGCAATATGACTTATTTTTTAATTAATCATTTAACATCATAATGGTGTTTAATAGTACGAGCGTGACAAATAAAACTTAACTGTTAAATAACTAACGTACCTACCTACTTAAACTCACGTCATTTTATACAAATTGCTATTAAAATGTTTGTTTCAGTTATGGTTATAGTTACCTATATTAAGTCTATATAGAGATATGAATATGCGCATATATTGCTCATTAATATCTAATATTCTTATATTACACGTACTGTTTGAATCTAAATATCAAGAAGAAAGTCACAAAAAAGTTAAAGATCATTTTCATTCTTTTACTAATAGATAGGTTTTTATTTAGGTCTGCTGGGGGAAAGGGATTGCTAGTAATGGTCACTAAAAATCCCATTGCTAGCAATATACCTTACCAGGTCGACCTCCACACGGTTCCTCCTAGAAACTATCATGATTATCATGATGATTCCTGATGAATTCATCATGATACTGGCCTGTTTTCATTCTCATCGATCACCCATCACTGGTACTCGGCCAGCGTATCCCGTTAGCGCAGGCGGAGTTACCATTCCATTTTCATCCAATAAAAAAAATATTAGGTTAATTAACATTAACCTAATATTATTACGCGGTTCCCCTAGAAACAACCAATTAATTCTTGTTAAATTTGTCATGGTGGGCCAACTGACTTGCTTTTGTCCTTTTACTGGTGTTCTGTTAGCGAATTCCGACAGCGTAAGCGAGATTATCATTATATATTTTATCCATTAACTTAAAGAAACTTTTCATTGCTGGATACCGATTTTTTCTTATAAGAGTTGTCAGGCAGCTTGGTTATAGGGCTTTATTTCTGGATTTTTTTCTAATAATACCTAAATATATTGAATGAACATAGAACGCTGACCCTGACTGCGCTGTTGTTATATACATGTGCGCAAGATACTAAGAGTATAAAGTCTAATTGTCCATCTAGATGAATTTATCCAGAATTAATTACTATGAGTTCCAGGGGAATTTTCATGGAGGTTGACTTATCCATATAGGTATCTTAACTTAGCATATAGTTAGGATATTTTATGTACTGATTTATGCAGAAGAAGTCTTGGGATACAGCTAGTATATTAGGAATAGTAAGCATTCTCTTAATACATACGGGGATGAATCTATTCTTTTTCATTATTTTATTAGTGTCAATTTTTACTAATGTGAAATTGATGTCTTAAGAAAATGTTGCGTACATCTGTATTTGGTGTAAATGCAAGATGTAAGCCTTGTATATCAATTAAATTTATGTCTGTATTTACATTGTTTATATACTTTATAAAATAAGTATATAAAAACTTTACAATACAATATTTAATTGAGTTGAAACCAATAGCAAAAAACATTTTAAAGTAATATGTATGTGACTAAAATGTTGCAAAATTCATTAATGTAGTTCTTAATCTATGCCTAATAAAAAAAAAAGAATGAATGACATTTCAAACTACAAATTACACTGGGTTTGACATTGACAGTTAAAAAGACAACTGTCAAGAGCATTGACATTGTTGGTGACAACACAACACTAACACATGTATATATAGGATATATAAAACTACATCTTAATCTGTTTCCATTTACTTTCAAACTAAAGTTGTGTTAAATTATGTGCTGTGAAAAGTACTTATCATTGAAACTTTAAACTTAAATAATATTATAATTAGATCATAATGATAGAAGGATACGGTGCTGTCACTCAGGCCCTATTGGGGACCCTTTTAACATGGGGACTCACAGCCGTAGGAGCCGGTTGTGTATTTTTTATAAGAGGAAAGCATGTGCGTAACTGTTGTTTTTAAGGAATAAAGTGCGTTGCAATTTGTATTAAAAATAAATAAATATCAACCTTGATGTTAACTTTTGTTGTTACAGAGAAAATTACTTGATGTATCTCTTGGTTTCGCTGCGGGAGTAATGACAGCGGCCTCCTACTGGTCTCTTCTCGATCCAGCTATTAAATTGTGTAAAGACTCTGATTTGTATGGAGAAAATGGGAAGTTTGCATTTTTACCAATTGCAGCTGGTTTTCTATTTGGGGCTGTATTTGTTTTTGGGACTGACAAATTCTTAGACTACTTAGGAATTAATTCAACAAATATGATGATGTGTAAGTAACAACTTTATTTACTATTATTTAGGGTTGGCTATTATTATATTCTATTATTGGCTTGTGATTGAATTAGGTATGCCAAGGCATCTTTTCATATATCTTAATCTCTACCCCTACAAGACTTATGGTCTTTATGAATATTTGATAAAAATAGTAATTTTTTTATTCAAGTCATAATCATATACTTCTACATATAATTTAGTAAGATAATTACTTATAATCTAAGTATAGGAAAAACTCATAAAGGACTTCTTAAGAACTCAAAACTTTATGGTTTCTAAGAGATGGAAATTAATGTGGTATTTTAGGTAAAATATGATAATTTATTTATTAAAACAAGTAAATTATCATATTTTACCTAAATCATCAATATTTCATCCAGGTCTAAAAATTACTGTGATACAAAAAATTGATAAGTGTATATTATTTTTTGAGTTCATACCCTAAGCATTTTGTGACAAACTGTCCTAAAGATTTGATATAAAAATCTGTTACTTGATATAAGCTAACATCATACAGATGCATGAAATTTTTTATTTATTATGTACAAAGCAGTTTACATAACAATGTAAGGATGCGTATTTGCAAAGTTACACAAGTGTTTTTAGTATGTTTAAAATAATAATACACAATGTGGTCCACTGCACTGACAATTCACTAGAATTGTATTTTATTTCATTCTTAATTTCATAATAATTGTATGTCATATTAGGATTTTTGTGATATATTTTGTTATGTATAATTGAAACATTAGTGTTATTATATTTTCATTTTTTTTATTTTTAAGTAAATTGCTGTTTGTCTTTTAAGCCTATATTTTTAATATGAAAACAATTCAGAAGCCCGAATGGTATCAATATTCATACATACTAAAAATTACAGGATTCAAAATCTGATAAATTTTACATGTAAGTTCTTAAAGAAACTTGATTTTTTAAGGAAGTAGCTTTGGGTATCAAGTCTTGAGCCCTCAAAACAATATTTAAATAAGAAAATTATAAAAAAAATAATTCACATAGAATAGAAAAAAAAAATTAGAAACTTTTTGGAAAATTTCCAAAAAGGAGCTTAAATTGCAAAAGTAGCACTTTATTTTATTGGCTTTTGTATTATATTTCACTTTTCATTATTAATGTTTTAATAACTCTTAATTTTTCAATATAAATTTCCATGTTTGTGATGTTTGTAATATGTATAGAAACCAATGATAATATGGAGTTGTATATAATTATATGGTACATAGATACTACTGATAGATATAGCCCTTGGTATACAATTACATATTGAATATCGAAAATAGCCAGATGAATATAAATATTTGTTAGTGTGGCCATTGACAGTGGAGTAACAATAGGGTGGCAGGGCTGGCAAAATGCCAATGGTTGTGAGCTCAGAATTTTTTTTACCTTGTATTTGAGTATTTTATTTTACTTGAAAATAAATGATACGTCCCCATCAAAAGAATTTGCCACAGGCCCCAAATGGTATAGTTACGCCACTAGCCATTGAACACATATTCATTGGGAAGTGACATGAAGATCATCAAATTTATTGAAGTCAATAATATATCCTTACAGTTTTATGAAGAATTCTGCAAGAGTAATAATACTGGGAGAACCCAACATAAACCAGATATATAAACAAGCATGAGAAAGTTCAATTTACAATGTTTAGTTAAAAGAAAAAAATAGTTCTACAGAGTAATAACTTCTAATTTAGTCATAAATAATTCACATAAAAATGTCTACTTAGAATTCTGTATAATACTCATATGACTTTTTGATCTGCTAAATTATGAGTTGAGAACCATAGTAGTTTCTAAGAAAAAACGCTGTGATTTTAGATGGAAAGATAACAGCAATCTTATCATTATACTTCCCTCTTAATTTAAAAATTAACAGTTTATTTATCATAGTTGCCACTATCATCATTTTAATCATCTAATTAAATTAATGAGGATATAAGTATAACTGCTGTATACATTTATTATATCACTGTTTACTTCTTTCATACAATAGGTATTATAATATTAAATCAACTTATAGTAAGAATCTGCATTCAATTCTTATCAATCTTAAATACTTGCTACCAGATTGAAGTCCATATAATGTTCCTTATCAGACAAAATGTGGCCTTAAATTTGTAGCTATACAAACTAGATATATTTTAAGCATTATTTATTATACTTATAGTTTTTTTTTTTACATTAATGTTGTCTTAATTTTTTTTTATCAGTTTCATCATGCGATAATTTTAAATTCTTATGCAGTATATAGTTTATACTTGTCATAAATTGACTTAAATGAATGTATAATGTAACTACTCGTAATTACCGCATTTCATTTAAAATGAATTTGAGTGTACTCATACTTATTTCTGATTAATTTTTCGATATAAAATTTCTATATTAATATTATTATTATTACTATCAATTACAAGCAGTTCATAGCGACCTGTACATGAAACAAATTAAAAGTTCTTTGCATAATACAAAAAGATTAGACTAAGACATTTTATAGATAACTATGTCTAGATATCTGTCGATTACATTTTGCTATTTGACTACTCTCGCTTATCACTTGACATCATGTTGAATAACTTTATTATCAAATCCAGATCTAATAATAAATGTAGCTTGTTTCTAAACCAAAAGGCTACGCAATTAATATCATGGATTCATGGCTACCATTTGAATAATTTGAAACTTATTAAGTGTTAATAAATGTTTAATCTTAATAAGAGTTAGGCGGAAGGGTTTACTTGAAATTTTATTTGAAATCTAGTGACAGTGTTCAGGAAACTAAACAGTTTGTCTCATTGAACATGGATCTAAATATAAAAATAAAGACTTCTTTGCAAAAAATATCAGCAAAATTCCTGACAAAATTATATTGGACCACGACCAAGAATAAAACCTTATCGATAGCATAAATTTTCTATATCGTTTCCAAATTGTTACTGATATCACTGTACATATGAAAAATAATTTGTAAACCTTTAATATTAAATTTAATCCATAGATTAGTAATTGCAGCCACATTATTTTTTTATTATTAAAACGAATATTTTTTATATAAAATGAATTCTATTATTGGTCAATCGCGTCCAATAAGATTTGCATTATAGAAATCCCCATAAAAATATGAGAAAATGGATTCCGAATCCGTAAAACTATTGTAGGTTTAGTAATATATATGTGTATATGTATATTAATATAGATTACTTTTATCCTATTACAGCAATAACAAAGACTAAGGATTCCAAAGAGAAGTTGGAAGATTTAGAGATGATGACGGCGCTAAACAGGCGGCCATCAACGAGTGTGGTCACGATGGACGGTCCGCCGCCGCCCACTGACTTCGCTGACTGCATCACGAACCAGCATACGGCTCAGCGGCGGCGAGGACACCATTCTCATCATTCATTGGTTTGTATACTTATACATGTATAAATCCCGTATTGTTACGATATTCGTTCGCATTATACTCCGGAACCGATTGACTAATAAAATTTTTCTCAATGTGTATTGTTTGCACTAACTTGAGAGTTTTTGTCCTGCTAATTGAATAGTAGTTTACCAGTATGGCTTACCGGTAGTTTTAGCTTTATTATGCAAAATACACGAAATTTAATTTATATATATATGTAAGATAAGTAGATATAATTATAATATCATCATATCAGCCGTTAACTGTCCAATGTTGAATATGAGCCTCTCCCTTTTACCAGTAGTTGCCACGATAGGTAGGCGGGTTGGTAACCGCAGTTAGGTTTTGGTGATGTTTTAAGAGGGATACTGCTGTCCATTCCTCGACCATTAAGTCTAAAATACCGACGCAGAATTGCACGAGTTGCTGTTTTCTACAGCAAACATTTTGGAGAATGTGCTTAAGAACTGCATGACCTGATTCTTTTTTCACTCTTTCGATATCGAACAACCAGACAGGGCGAGAGTCTCCACTCTTACGTCGTCGACATACCACTTAAACGCACGAAGCGCTTTTTGTCTTCTTTCATCATGCATACGACCAAGGAGTGAAATTCTCTCCCTGCTTATGTTTTTTCATCCAAATATAATCTGCACCAATATAAGTAAATGTGAATAGGCTATTTTGGGCCCGCGAGCCCATCTTAGACCACATCATCGCTTTTCATCGGATGAGATCGTGATCAATCGCGGGACCCTTTAATAGTCAAAAAAGTCTCTTGATCATCTTTTACGACAGCCACGGAAAGGGAAGGGGTGATCCGTTCCATGCCGGGACTATACGAAAAATATTGTAATTTGCATTTTATTGATATTTAATGTTGTAACGTGGATATAAATCGCTATTGTGTATTACGATTTAATGTTAAAATACGAGTACTTACTGATATATGAATAATTTGTATTCGTTACATACTTATAGGAGAAATAAATATTAATCTATTTATTTATAGACTCTTAGCATTATTATGAATATAATGTAATGTGACTTCCTTATTTACCAGACGGAAACAGATCTACTTACTTTGTACAAAATTGTTCATTACCATCTTCAGTCGGCTTCTTTACTCTCTGCTTTGATCTTCAATATGAGAACTGTAACACGAAGTTCTAAAACATTTGCACTTTGCGTTTATAAGAATAATACATCATATTATAACCCGCTCATACGTATGTGTCGTATTTTTAATAAAATGTCCGATAAATGTCCTCAAATTAATATCTTTAACTCGCGTCTGAATGCTTTCAAAACCATTTTACAAACAGCCGTCAAGTCTCTTTGATATGTCCATATTTTTATATATTTTTGTTATTTGCATTTACTTGTTCATTGTTATTTGCCACATTCATATCCTTTCTATATATAATTTATAATTGAACATTTATTTGCCAATTGCTTTAACCATGCTGTGTGTACACCTGTCTGGGTCTCAATCTAGTTCATACTATTGTCTTCCTATAAATGTTTATAATGTTACTGATTGTAACCTATTGTGTATACCTTTTTAAATAAAAAAAAAAATATAATACACGACATTCCTATAGGTTTCGCCATACATGCTGATTTACTTATAGACAAACATATACATTTATAAAATAAAGCCCCTTTCTTTAGGTACTGAATCATATAAAAAGAAATTATTTGCAGACCAACGCACTATGCATTTACATATCACATTACCTGCGTCACATTTATTAATGCCCATGCAACGGCATCGCCACGTGCCGTACTAGAAACTTGGTTTATTATCGCGTTACAAAAATGATAACAATACAAACCTTGAGAAAGAAAACCAACCCATATCTAATAGGTAATCAAATAATTATACTTAAATCTGAAATAAAATAAAATTTGTAATTTAGTGATATAATACTTATTAATTGTGACGAGACGTGAATGATTACGTTTGGTCACAAAACACACCCGCTATGCAACATAGTTTCAGGGCAGATTATCGGCCCTACCGCTACCGTTCCACTGAGCAGAAACGGACCCCCATACTGGCTGTGTGGCCCCGGTATAGAATAGGTTACCCCTTCCTATCCCGTGGGTGTCATAAGAGCCGACTAAGGTAGAGCAAAGAATGGGCAGCAGCGTCCCTCATAAAAAAAAGCCTAACTGCGGTTGTCGATCCGTCTGCAAAGCGTGGTAACTACTTTCAAAACCCCCCAAGGGGCAGGCTTATTGTTCATCAGTGGACAGTTAAAGGCTGATATGATGATATAATACTGAATGTATGAAAATTTACTTCAATGATAGTACGAAGATAGTAACAATAAGGCGAGAAATTGGAATTATAACATGCAAGGTAGAAGTGATATAAAGTATCGTGTACTTTGTATCACTTCTGTTCTACCTAGATTTATTGATTCTCGTGGTATTATGTCACAAATTTGTGGATGATAATGTACACGCTTCACCCAAAATAGCAATTAAATTGACTCATTTATTTAAAAATAAATAGGACTTATATGTTGTTCTTTTAAATTTACAACATAAGTATGTCTTGTCTTTTTAATATTATTCTAATGTCGATGGTTTTGTTTCCGGTCACAATAGAAATATGTTTGGGTTCTATTGTTCTCTCCAAAAAATTAACTTCAGTTTACATAAAAACAGTATAGAATAAATACTAAAAGAATAAACTCTTTTTAACAAAATTGGATCACAATTGGCGAAGATATTGTGCAACATATACACAAAAAATAAGAATATTTAAGTGGTCGAATTGGAAGATTTTGTTTTTTATTTTACTGTTAATTTTCAAGAAAGCAGGTGTTTTTTTCTCGATTCAGTTCCAAAATATTTTTGACTTGACTGTTGAAATTGCAGAAAGCGGAGGAGAATGGTGACGGCGACCGTCGTGATAGCGCTGCGCGGTCGCTGGAGGCGCGACAGTCACAATGGAAGCGTATTATGCTTCTAGTTGTAGCCATCACTGTACATAATATTCCGGAAGGACTTGCTGTGGGTGTTTCCTTTGGTGCTGCCAAAGAACCATCCAACTTCCACACCGCCAGGTTAGTTTATGTTAAAAACATACGACAATATACTCGTAATATACAAACATAAAAATAAACAACAGCTTTTGCTCGCGGTTTTGCTCACGCGTAATTACGGACTCCTATATAAACTTTTCACCTATATGCCTTAATCTAACACTTTATCTATATAATCCAAGGAGTAATATAATATATAATTTTCGCGCTTGGCAGACGGGTAGGCTTTTGGAGTAAAACATCTCCAAAAGCCTACCTGTAGAGGGGTGCTGCTGCCTATCCCTTGACCAAAAGTTTCTATCTTTAGCAAAAAGAAATACGATCATTTAGGTATATACTTTATTTTTGTTCTATCTATCTATCTATCCATTTAAGAGCTGCGCTCTTGTTGGTGGAGCTCTTGCCACTCACTACGATTTTCAGCGAGTCTCTTCACCTCTTGATACGACACGACACCAACTCCTTCCTTGATCTGCCTGATGTAACTATGTCTCGGTCTCCCTCTCCCCCTTCTTCCTTCTATCTTACCTTCTATTATAATGTTCATAAGTTCGTCGTGTCGTATCAAGTGTCCTAACATTTATTTTTATTATGAATTTAAATTCAAATAGATATACAAGATAGTCAATTTAAAATATTAATTACTTTATAATTTATTTTTATCATGAATTAACATTCAAATAGAAATAATAGACGGTCTTATCTTTATCTCATTTTTACGAATAAGCAAAAGGTAAAGCAACCTTAGGACATTAGAAAATCGTGTGCATTGAAATAAGTGAAGATACCGAAAATTAGTCAATTACTATTTAAAATTGTTAGATAAGTCCGATTTTTTTTATACAACTTAGAATGGCAAACAAGCTGACGGCCCACCTGATGGAAAGTTGCAACCGTCGCCTATAAACATGAGCAGTACCATGGACATAACAGAGTATACTGTTTCGCGCATGATACCCCCCATGCGTTGCCATTCCTGAGAACTCAGGTGTTATTCCTCTGTACCCAGTAAATTCACGCCATATCCCACCCTTCAAACTGAAACACAGCCACGCAAATAGCTGCTTCACGGTTGAAACACGAATGGGACAGAGGTACCCAATCAATCGACTTTTGTACAAAGTCTCCCTCTGGTCTCCCGATGTTTCCACACTTTGGTAATTTTTAGTAAAAACCCTCAAAAAGAAAAAAAAATATAATGTTAATATAATCTTTTTTTTCTTACATTACGTGAGCTAAGCTCCATCTATCAGAAGTTAAGAATTATGTATATTATAGCATACGAATAAATACATTGAACTTGTATTGCTATTCTAAACAGTGTTTTTATATTCAACGCCATCTAGTTATTTAATAGTATAATAAATAGTTTAGTTCAATAATTCTTTAGTGCTGCCATCTGAAAAATATTTGTTATAACATAATTCTCACATAAGCAGGATTTCGGTTGCGAGCTGTGCTTAAGTCTACTTACATGCATTTACTGGATAGATGTAGCTACTGGAAACGATTCGCATGTATATGATACTGAAAATAGATATGTATAATTCGAACAAAGGTTAAGAATAGCACCTTTTTTTCTAGTTTCAAATTTATTTTACTTCGATTTTTATATCTACATAGTTATCTATACAGACGATTGTTACCAAAATCGCGTTAGTTTAATATGGTAATAAATAGCTATTTAGTAAGCAATTTACAAAATAATTTGTTGTGTAACTCGACCTACACTATTTTGCAATATCTCAACCCTGTTTTGGGGTTTCACTAAAACTTATTTTCCTGCATATTTTCCGTGACAACGCTAATAACGCCTATGAATATTTAGATAGGGCAAGCACGTATGTATGTTATCCGCCATTTTGTTACGTCAGTAAAAGGAACGTGAGGCACCGTTGGTGCGACGGCGGTGTCGCTGGCTGGCTCAGGAATTTCATTGATAAGTTGCGGGCGCGAGTGGGATGCATGTTAGCTGCCCCGCCACTCTTCTATTCATTCTGCGGACCCACTGCATTGCCTTTTAATTAATGGGCCTTCGGACGCAAGCACGATCTAAATTTATTGACATTATGTATAATGTATTGTGTAGCTACAACTAAGAACAAAATGACTACTTAGAAAGTTATTATTTTTAAGTAATTATAATATCAAATGAATGCTCGAATTTTAAATATTAAATAGAATGTCTAAAGATTTAAAGAGAAAGGTAATATGTATTAAAATGTAACAATTAATTGCTACTATTTCATAATTAAAGCAAAATGGGTATACTGCCGTAGACTAACTACTGTCTTTGTGACGTTTAACAACGAATGATGTGCTCTATACAATTCTTTAATTGTAAACGTCTTGCATAAATTTTGGATTTGGATATAAAAATACGGTCCAATTTGTATTGCGGCAAAACGCCGTAGAAAATTGTCACGTCTTGTTTCATCGAATGTTTGGCATAAGCCGTCACACGCCTACTTATCTCACTGGCATGGTAATATCTTATTTGACTATAGTTAATACTGCTAGTTTAATTAAGAGTAGTATAAAAAACTATATTCGTCGATGAGTTAGAGATGATGGATTTTGTTTCCGTGTTTGTACGACGTCTTTCTGTCTGGTGCGATTAGGATGCACAATATATCAGAGTAGCTAATCGTAGTGTCGTAACGAACTGCGATTAATCGGTGTATATAGAGTCTATAAAGAGTCGCAAAACGAGTGTATCGCAAACGATGGTTCATTTGTAGTTGAGTTGAGCCAAATCGCATGGCGAGCCGCGAGGGCATCGACCCGCGCGCCGGCGCAGACGTTGCCGTCACCGCCGCCGCCGACGCCGCCGCTCGGTGAAACTATTTCACTGAAAAATCAACCTTGACGATTTGTCGCGTCGTCTGAACTGATGCGTGGGTGCCTCCCGAGCGTATTCATAACCGTTAAATATTGGCACCTCTCACTAATGTACGTCGACGTACCTATTCGGACAGTCTCCGGAATTTCGCGATTCATTAATAACACCTAATGAAAAATTCTTTCGTTTAAGCCTTTTGCTTTAGTCATATGTAATACTGTAATTACTAGAAAAAATCTGAAAGTAAAGACATTTGAGATTTTTCGCGAAAATTTGCTAGGGATGTTACCAATATGCAATAAAATCTAGTCATTTTCGGATTTAATATGTCTATTTGTAACGTTTTTACGACAAAGAAGGATTTTTAGGTAATTTTATAGTTGAATTGATATTGTTTAGTTCAATTAAAAACATATTTTTTTTGTAGTCGCATAGAGAGTAGAACTTATTCACGAAAAAAAAAACCATTATTACGAATTGAGTTAATTTGGACAACCACATGACTATGGACAAAGTCAAAGCGGCGGGTATGGCTAATAGATTAAGTAGCAAAAGCAGTAATCTTAATTAGATTTGGTAGGATGTTTATAACTCACAATTATATAAAATATTAATATACCAAGTATGAATAATCATGCCACCTAACATGATCTGTCAGGGATCTTCACTTGGTACAAAGTTAAAATTTTTATCCGAAGTTATTTGCTTCCTTGCATAGTTTCTTATCGATTTTAGTAGTTTACCTAATAATTATATAGTTCTTTATTCCATAAAATGATTAAGCTTACAAAAGTGTACAGGAAAAAAAAAAAAACTATTTTAATATTCATGTAAATAACATGAAGTATTTTTAGGTAATTTTAAAATCAAATTTGAATACTGCTCAATAAAATAATTAGAAGAATCAACCGTTTCCAAAGGTTTTTTTTTCAAGGAGTTACAATTAAATAAAAAATAAAAACAAATATATGAAAATCGCTAAATATTTACATTGAGACACGAAACTTAAATTTTCAATCATTATTAACTTCTTCAAATTCTATCACCCAAAGGTGCCTCAAGTATTTCTTAATTTGAATATTTTCGTTAAACCAGACAAAACAATTTTATCATGTAATCATTCTTTTTGAATGGTTCATTAAATGTTAAATTTTAATGTTTCAATACACGAAGTTACAACTTTATAATAAATAAGAATATTTATGTAATTTTTACATTTGTAATTATATACTCCATGGAGCAGATGGAGTACTAATGTAAAGTGAAAATAAATAAGTAATCATATCTATATGCGGTAATAGTAAATGATCACCATAGCCCATGAACATTTGCAACGCTAGCGGTGTTATAAGAGTTTGAGTTACAGAACCCAGTAATTTTACTGTCATATCTTCAAACCAAACCAGTCTCCAATGTATTCCGCAGACAGTTTGCGATAACCGAAAATTGCTCAATCAGTATTCAGTTTTGACGTGGTTTGTATCATAAAATTAACGAGTTAACGTTGGTTCTAACTCTGCAGAGGGATTTAGGAACTAAAATTACTATTCTGAATTAGTTCTATCCATTGCCACTTGATACCTTATAACGTTGCTTGTTAGAGAATAGTGCATTTAACTCATTTAGCCATTAGAAAGCAAACGTACTACGTATAACTATTATATACCTTACGAATAGATTGCATAGAATTTGTTAAATAAGTAATCAGCTTGTAGAATTCAGCATGCTGCGTGTAATCATTTGGTGGCAGAATGAATAAGTGAGACAGATTTTAATGATGGAACAGAAGAACCGTGTTTGCATAGCTCTTTAAAAACTCCTTATGGTACATATTTTAACAATAGGTGACTGGGGTGGTTGTAAGTTATTGTGTTTACTTATATGTGATCTTATAGTGGTTATATGTGAAAATCGAGAGCCAAAATAGTAAAAATTTAAAAAGATCAGACACAAAACTTCATGTAATTACTGCTTTAATCCCTAGCTTTTAAACAAAGGCAACAGAAAACAAATATGTTCTAGTTATTGTCTGAAATGTCGCCAGTAGTGATCATCAAACGGTTCACTACAGTTGACACGTAGATGCACTATATGAAATTAAAAAAATATTTGCAACTCCGAAATTTACAACAAACATTTCCATAAAATTATAGTCCTAAAATGTTTACTATACATTTAT